ACTCCTGATTTCAAGTGATCTGCCTGCCTCAGCCTCCCAAAGTGCTGGGATTATAGGCATGAGCCACCATGACTGGCCGACACTTATCATTTTCTACTTGTTTTTAAAACTTTTCTTTTTGCAGTGTCACTCTCAGGATACCTACTTATTGAAATACTTTCTCTCCCTCTTGGATTTCCTAACGACCCACTTTGCAGGTCCCTCTTAGTCTACTTTGCTGACTCCTGCCCTTTGTTCCAAGTCAGGTGGTCTGGGCTTGGTCTAGCATTCTCTTCTTTATTTGTACATTCTTCCTAAATGATTTCATCCAGGCTCAAAGCTTTAAAAGCCATCTATTTGCCATGACTACTAACTTTGGATTTCTAGCTGAGGCTTCTCCCTGGAACTCTACCCTCCACATCTAATGGTCTGCTTGATATCTAAAAATGAATTGAATTTCTTTTCTTTTTTTTTAAATGCAGTCTCACTCTGTTGCCCAGGTTGAAGTGCAATGTCGTGATCTTGGCTCACTGCAACCTCTGCTTCCTGGATCCAAGTGATTTTCCTGCCTCAGCATCCTGAATAGGCATGAGTCGCATTGCAGCCAGCACCACTGCGCCTGGCTAATTTTTATATTTTTAGTAGAGATGGAATTTTGTCATGTTGGCCAGGCTAGTTTTGAACTCCTGATTTCAGGTGATCCGCCCTTCTTGGCCTCCCAAAATGCTAGGATTACAGGTGTGAGCCACTGCTACCAGCTATGTATTGAATTTCTAATAAGCAGCTTAAACTTAAATTTTACGAAAAAGACGTTTTGGATTTTTATCTCCCAAACCCCTGCTGCTCCTCCTCTTCTTCCTTTCTCAGTAAATAGCACCACTATCTACCCTCAGAGCAAAAAATACCCTAGTAGCTTTGTCTTCGAATCTTCTGCATTCAATCCCTCAACAAGTTTTATGTTCCAAAAATACACTTCTCTGTAGCACATGCCATGATGTGCCACCCAAAGCCCTTTTCAGGACTGTAGGATTTACTCCCACAGCTGCTGGGCATGCTGCCACCTCACAGCCCTCTGCCCTCTCTGCAAATTGCCCTCAGCTGCAGAGAGACACCTTACCCAAGATCACATCCTTTCCTGCTTGCCCATAAAAAAACCTGGTCCTGGTCAGGCATGGTAGCTCACACCTGTAAGCCCAGCACTTTGGGAAGCCGAGGCAGACTGATCAAGAGGTCAGGAATTCGAGATCAATCTGACCAACATGGTGAAATCCCGCCTCAGTTGAAAATAGAAAAGTTAACTGGGTGTGGTGGCACGTGCTTGTAATCCCAGCTACACAGGAGGCTGAGGCAGAGAATCATTTGAACCTGGGAGGCAGATGTTGCAGTGAGCCAAGATGGCGCCACTGCACTCCGGCCTGGTCAACAGAGTGAGACCCTTGCTCGAAAAAACAAAACAAAAACCGCTCCTCCCTCAGTAACCCAAGACAACTCTGAAAGGCCACCCCAGCATATCCCAGTGCTGCCTGTGGGATCAGCCAAGGCCCTCATGGAGACTGCCTCAGAGCCCAGCATCTCCTCTTGCCCAGACTGCGTCCTTCCCTTCCTTCTGGAAACCCTGTCTGCAACACTATCCCAAGTGTACCCCCCTCTTTCCATCTCCCCGTTTCGTTTTGGTTAAGCCACCTTCTCTCACCTTGACTGCTGCATTGCTGTCCCTGGGTCTCCTTTCCGTTGCTTTTCACTTGACCATTTCTTTCCCTCACAACCGTCAGCTATTGATATGGTTTGGCTGTATCCCCACCTGAATCTCATTTTAAATTGTAACGCCCACAATTCACACGTGCCGTGGGAGGAACCCCATGGGAGGTGACTGAATTATGGGGGCGGGTCTTCCCTGCGCTGTTCTCCTGATAGTGAATGGGTCTCACGAGATCCTAGTGAATGGGTCTCACGAGATCGGATGATTTTAAAAAAGCCAGAGTTCCACTGCCTCAGCTCTCCCTTTGCCTACTGCCACGATTGTGAGGCCTCCCCAGCCACGTGGAACTGGGAGCCCAATTAAACCTTTTTCTTTTGTAAATTGCCCAGTCTCGGATATGTCTTAATCGGTAGTGTGAAAACGGACTAATACAGCTAGGTTTTATTTTTTTAGAGGAAGAGTCTTGCTCAGTTCATCCTCAGCTGGAGTACACAATCTTCTTGTGCCTCAGCCTCCCAAGTAGCTGAGATTACAATTGCACACCACCATGCCTGGCTAATTTTTTTGTATTATTGGTAGAGACAGAGTTTTGCCATGTTTGCCAGACTCTGTCATTTTTCAACCCTTTGGCTTTCTGTATTGCATTCTGGGTAATTTCTTTGAATCTGTCTACTGGTTCACGATTCCTCTCTTCAGTTATACCAGTTTGTAATTTACACATTGTACTTTAAATTTCAACGATTATAGTTTTAGTTTCTAAGACTTAAAAAATGTTCCTTCTAATCTACCTGGTTATATCGAATGTACTCCTTATTGTATTCATTGTTTTAGACACTGTCTTTATTTCCTTAACATGTAAAACATGATTATTTTATATTGTGTATCTGGTAATTCCAGTATCTAAAATCTGTGGGGCAATAAATCGGCTGGTAGTTATATCTGCTGATTATGTCCTATGGTTTATTTGTATATTTGGTAATTTTAAAATTGCAAGGGCATACTTTGTTGAGCTTAATTGGAGAGAGCTATGTTAGAGATGCTTTCCTCTAGATAACATATGCTTGTATCTACCTGCTACCAGGGTTCCTAGCAAGCTCTTTAATTTCTTGGTTTTGTATTCTTTGACCATATGGAGAGTGTAAGACTGAATTCCATACTTGACAGGGGCAGGCCTATGATAAATTTCAAGGGGTCATTATTATTATTATTTTTCCATCTAGAGCTAGTGTGGAGATGGTGTTCTTGATAGATTTCTTTTGCGAGCATGAGGAATTTTCCTAGGCCACTCTTGCTTAGGATGTAGCCATCTTCAAGTCCTGATTTAGGATGTGAATGTCAAGTTTAACTCACCTACTTCCAGTGGCCCGAGGCTTAATATTCCATTCCCTACTTTGTTTACCTTCAGGCAAGCCCAGTTTTTGCTTTTCCTTACAGTTTACACTCAGTTTTCAGCTAACTCAACTTCTTTTTTGAAATGCTTTTGGAATTTCTCTTACTTTCTTGCAATCTAAGCTGTATGTTAAAAATAAATTTATTGTAACTTATCTAATATTTAATGGTATGGTATAAGAAAGGCCTTTTAGAGACTGAACTCAACGGCTCATGCCTGTAATCTCAGCACTTTGGGAGGCCGAGATGGGTGGATCACAAGGTCAGGAGTTTGAGATCAGCCTGCCCAACATGTTGAAACCCCATCTCTACTAAAAATACAAAATTTACCGGGTGTGGTGGTGCAGAGGTTGCAGTGAGCCGAGATTGCACCACTGCACTCCAGCCTGGGCCACAGAGCAAGACTCTTTCTCAAAAATTAAAAAAAAAAAAAAAAAAAAAAAAAAGCTTTTTAGAGTATCTAGTTGATACTACTAGATGCAGAAACCAAAAGTAATCTTTTAGAAATGTGAAATCGTTTACATCACTCTTTTGCTTAAGATCCTTCAGTGGCTTTTTCTCACACTTAAAACGTACAAACTATCCTGGCCTACAAAGCCCAGAGTTGTTGTGGCTTAGCCCGCGTGGCTCCCCACCCTGCCACCCTGCTGGCATGCCTTCTGCTTTTTTCACATTTGGCTTCTAAACATTCAGGTCTCACTCTAAATGCCACCTTTTCGTAGAGGCCCCACCTGACTCCCCTCTCCGTTTCTCTATCAATCACCCTGTTTTAATTCTCTTTAGAGAACCTATTATTAGCTGACATTTTCCTGTCTATTGTGTGTCTTCCCTATTAGAACATAAGACTATGAAAGGAAAGCAGGGACCTTTTTTGTGTGATTCATCACTCTCTTCTCAGAATTTAGAACAGCTCTTGGCACATAGTAGAAATTCAATACATATTTGTTGAATAATGAGAGCTGAGCGTTGACTACCTATTCCCTTGAGACAGGACCTATGTTCTTCAGAGTTCCACAGTTCCCACTACTTTCTTTTAAAAAGTTATTTTATTTTTTTAAAAAAATATTATTTTTTATTTTCAGAGAAGGGATCTCACTATATTGCCTAGGTTGGTCTCAAACTCCTGGACTCAAGTGATCCATCTACCTTGGCCTCCCAAAGTGCTGGGGTTATGAGCCACTGTGCCAGGCCAGTTCCTGCTACTTCCTATCATCTCCCAAGTTGAGCTTGCTTTGTGAATTTATTGGCCCTTGTATGCATTTGAATTTTCAATCCCTGCTCACAAATGTCACTCTAATTGTCTTCAGCATCTTCAGAGCAGAGACTTTGTTTTATGTTTCTTTTTTCCCTTCAGTGTCTTGCATATAATAGGAGGGGAAGGAATGAACATTCACTGAATATCCCCTACCTGTCAAGCACAACCACACTACAGTTTAATTATGTCCTTACAACTATGCTATGAAGCTGAGTAATAGTATGGATATCTATTTTACAAATGAAGACACTGAGGCTTCGAGTTGTTCAGAGTCATATAGTAAACCAAGGATCAGAGACTGAACTCAGACAACATATACCTAGTATGAAGTATTGTAAAAGGGTTGCTCATGTGTGAGGAATGGCTGGCTGTTTTCAATTTGCAAAGGGGAGATTGGGCAAATGGATATTGCAGGTCAAATTTTACTTGAGCAGTCCAGCTATTTATTTAGTTATCAATTTTATTCCACTGAGTGTATATCCCTATATTTGGCTAGATGAGGCTTTGGAGATTTTAACCATGCCTTCTACGTGAAAGTCTTGCTGCTGACAGATGTTATGGAATCCAAGAGCCGGGAGATTTTCTGAGATAGTTACTTCAATCCAACCATCAGCTGTCACCGGATCATGGACAAAGACAGAAACTGAATGCACCGAAGATGTACCACACCACCAAAAATTCTTTTAAGTAACAAAATCTTATTTTTATTTTTATTTTTTATGGAAATTCAGATATTCCAACAAATTTCTTTACATTTCCTGGACCTTAAAAAAATTACACACAACTTTTGGACGCAATACAACAGAACAGAATGAGAAAGGGAGTCACTTTTTTTTTTGTTTTTTAAAAAGATAAAAACCTACTTTTTAGACTTAATTAACATTTAGTGATTTACATGTGTGTTATCTATATACAAATGGTACATCGTCAATGACCCATCTTCAGAGCACTGTGGTATGCTAAATTACACTTAGGTTTTATGTAAAAACTTTTTAAAAAACATTTGCATGTGGATAGGAAGTACTTTCTTAGTTTTGTTAACACAACTGTCAGTGATGTAGGACTCCCGATGGAATCTGTAGTTTGCTCGGATGAAGGAAAGCCAATACCTTCTGTTTTTATTGTAGATAAGGTAGACAGGTACCGACCGCCCTTCAAATAAAATACGAATTCTTGAAAAGTTGTGTGTAATTAAATTTAGTAAGTAGGGTGTTTCAGATACAGTAGGGAGCTAATACTTAAAGCAACAAATAATCCTCAGAACGACTAATACTTTAGTTGTAGATACTAAGTATGCCCTTAATTTGGTTCCTCAGAAAAGCCACATCTCTGTGAATTGGATTTTACTCCTTTGAGCATACCTGTAATATGCTTTTAGCCATTTGAAACGTAGTGCCATTTATTGTGAAAAGATGGCTTGCACCAGAAACATTTGGCTAAAATAGATAGGTGGTCCTAACAGAGAGAGGGTAAGAGAAGTGAACCCTGATCTGTATCGCTTCTTGTGTTATTCTCCATCTGATGTTCTAGTGTGATATATACTAATTTGTTCTTAATCTTGAATATATGAATCAAAGCATTCTACACGTCGATGTTTGCTGCTCAGGTATAGAACATGGTTTGGCTTCCACTAAGTACCCTTGCATGTACATGTTAGCTTGTGTTCATTCTCAGGCAGTGGGCTATTTCAATGTCAAATATTTCTCTGTTTTTGGATATTGGCAGGATATGTGGTGAGGCTGATGGTGGGGGAAGCCTGGGAGCAAACGATTGTTGAAGTCAACTGGTTAGTTGTTAGCTACTTCCAGATGTCAGCAACTAAAGTGAATCTGAGTCTTTTTGAAACTAACATTAGTAAACAAAAAGGTAACTTATTTCTACTGAGTTTTTTTCAACTTGTATAAGTATATAGTCATTTATTTCTAAGGCTATTAAATTATTATTTATTTTGTTAGTACCACTTACTATTATTTAGAAATATGTTTAATGGAATGATTATAAAAAATAAAAATGAGTGCCTGTCAGTAAGAGAAATAGAAGATATGGATTTCTGGTAAAGATGTATGGCAAAGAAATAGGAAAAAAATAGAAGATATTTTAGATACTTATTTATAACGTATTTTAAATTCCTATGCATATACTAGGGAGAATTAGAAAAAAAGTATTTATTTGATAGTAGCCTATAATATTACACATGAGCATCCAAGGTGAAATGGACTTTCTATATTTTTCAGACTTCCTTGATGCTGTTTCCTGAAAGATAGGGAACCTGTGATGTAAAGATGTACTTCCTGTAATATACAGTTTGATGGAGTAACGGTATATGGCATCAAAGTCTTCTCAGTAATAACTTGTATGGACAGATTAAACAGAACACAGACTTGGTAAAAGGTTTGAAGCTATTATGTCTCTTAATAACTGGGTGGTTGTAACTAAGTATACAGTGAAGTAAATGAATGGTAGAGACGAAGAACCAAAGGTCACGGCTCCTACAAAAACATTCAGAGGCATTTTCTAAGATGCTTCCTCAGTAAATGATGCTTGATCAGCCTCTTGGTTATTGAGATAGGAATAATTTAGAACTAACTGCCTTTTTAAAAATTCTGTTGAAGGGTTAAAGCTTTTTGTTTTCAGTTTGATTTAAAAAGGACAGTTTACAAACCTCAGTACATATATATTTTACATGTTAACTCTAGAGCATTAATATTCTTCTTCCTTATTTCCTGAACATGATTTTTCATGAATGTTTTCTGATCTCATCCAATGACAGTTTCCAATGAGCTGGTGTTTAATCCATAATCGCATCTCTTTCCAGAAAATCACTCCCATCTCTGCTGATCTAGATTCAGAAGGTGCGTTGACAAGTGAATGTTCCATTCTTGTTCATATTCATCTCTATATTCTGATCTCTCTCCAGCGTATTTCTTCTTGATGTTGATGTACAAAAGCTGTTATTCGATTTGTTTAGCTGTTGTTCGATTTGTTTTGTGCTCATTCTAGAGAATATTGGCTTAGCAGAACTGCAGAAATGGGAGGGAAGAGAGAGAAAAAGGGTGGGGGGGAGAGAAAAAAATGCATCATTTTCTGTCTGCAAGATTTTTGTGCATATTTGTCATGGAAAAAATTACATAAACGAATGGTTCAAATGCACTTTGCATTTGTTACCAAACAATACTGAAAAGTTTGAGATTTCTGTCCCATTCAACCCACAGCGCAGTCTTCCCAGCCAGAAGAATGTGCATGTTCCCTCCATCTGGGTCAAGATTACAGGCTGCTTTGAAGGAGCAAGGAAGAGTGTAGACCATTCCCAAGCATCAATGACTTTTCTGCTTAGCATGGAAAAAATGTGTCATTTGAGTGTTTTCCTTTTTTTTCCAAGTTTTATTTATTTTGAACTCAACATTATAGCAGCTACAAATTATTATAAAGATGAATCACCCATAATCCAATCACATTGACAAAACCATTTCCTTCCTATATTTCTTTCCATTCCTTATCTAAATGTGTAATTACTTTATACGATTGTAATTACAGTATAGATGACACTTTAAGCATTTTCCCATTACATTAAGGACAACTTTCTACATTTCTACTGTCCATATCATCAGCATAAGCTTATTTTCTTTACTTATTTACTTAATTTATAATATAGAGACAGGGTTTCATCATGTTGCCTAGACTGATCTCAAACTCCTGAACTGAAGTGATCCACCTTCCTCAGCCTCCCAGAGTGTTAGGATTACAGGTGTGAGCCACCGTGCCCTGCCATCAGCATGAATTTCCAATGGCTGCATGATACTCTGTTTCATTCTCATTCCTCCCCACTCTATGCTCAATATTTCATTCTCAACTGTTTCACTATTGTCAGACATATAGGTAGCTTTCTGATTTATTATTATAAATATGAATATCTTTCATATAAAGATCTGTTTGTTTTTAAAAATGTTTCTTGGCTGGGTACTATGGCTTACACATGTAATTACAGCACTTTGGGAGGCTGAGGCAGGAGGATCTCTTGAGCTCACGAGTTTGAAATCAGCTTGTAGTCATGATAGCAAAATCTCATCTCTACAAAACATACAAAAATTAGCTGATTGTGGTGGTGCGCCTGTAGGCCCAGCTACTCGGGGCTGATATGGGAGGACTGCTTGAGTCTGGGAGGTCAAGGTTGTGGTAAGCCAAGATTGCGTCGCTGCACTCCAGACTGGGTAAGAGTAAGACCAGTCACAAAACTTTTCTATTTCTTTTGGACGAATTCTGAGGGGATAATTACTTTTCCTTTTCTCCAACAGATTAGGGATCCTCTATCAACACAGCTAGATCGCAAACAGTGTGATTAACCCTATGCTTTGAATGATTTTCATAGACTTTGTCACTGTGAACCTGGGCTTAAGGGTATCTTACATATTGGGAAGTTGGGTAAATACACCTAGCTGATCATGGTGTGGCATATTTTGGCCAAAAGGAAACAGCCTGTTAGGTTTTGCATCACAGAGCACTTTATTATTTATTTATTTATATATATTTTTGATGGAGTCTTGCTCTGTCACCCACCCAGGCGCGAGAGCAGTGGCACAATCTTGGCTCACTGCAACCTCTGCCTCCCAGGTTCAAGTGATTCTCCTGCCTCAGCCTCCTGAGTAGCTGAGATTACTGGTATATACCACCACACTTGGCTGATTTTTGTATTTTCAGTAGAGACAGGGTTCTACCATATTGGCGAGGCTGGTCTCAAACTCCTGACCTCAGGAGATCTACCCGCCTTGGCCTCCCAAAGTATAGGGATTACAGGCCTGAGCCAGGCAGGCTGAGGTTTTGTATCACAGAGCACTTTAAAACACAAGATAAGATAAGGTTTCTGAATGTGTGTTAGAGAATCCTGAATCATTCTGTTGTTTTTAGTCTGTTCCCCCTTGTTTTTCAACACATTTAAAAAGATCATATGCACATTATGATCTTAATGAACTTCTCTCAGCAAGAGAACTCATGGTTACTCTAATGTACCCAGACTACACAGAGGATAATTGAAATATGATCATGTCATAATGATGATTAGTCTATAATGATCCTTTGAGATTGAGTCATGCTGGCAGAAGCCCTACGGAAAGGAATACTTTCTTTAGATATTATTAAAAGCAACAGAATCAGCCACTGTGGAAAGCAGTTTGGCAATTTCTCCAAGAGCTTAAAATAGAACTACCATTCAACCTAGCAATCCCATTAGTGGGTATATGCCCAAAGAAAAACAAATCCTTCTACCAAAAGGACACAGGCACTCATATGTTCACTGCAGCACTATTAACAATAGCAAAGACATGGGATCAGCCTAGGCGCCCATCAGTGGTGCACTGGATAAAGAAAGTGTGGTACATACACACCATGGAGTACTATGTGGCCATAAAAACTTGGTTGTGCATGGTGGCTCATGCCTGTTATTCCAGCCCTTTGAGAGGCTGAGGCGGGTGGATCACCTGAGGTCAGGAGTTCGAGAACAGCCTGGCCAACATGGCAAAACCATGTCTCTACTAAAAATACAAAAAAAAAAAAAAAAAAAAAAAAAAGCCAGGCATGGTAGCAGGTGCCTATAATCTCAGCTACTTGGGAGGCTGAGGGAGGAGAATTGCCTTAACCCAGGAGGCAGAGGTTGTAGTGAGCCGAGATCGCTCCATTGCACTCCAGCCTGGGTGACAGAACAAGACTCCATCTCAAAAAACAAGAAAATAGTATAAGTAGAGGGATGAATAGAGAGACCACAGAGGGCCATCTATGTGTGTGGGGCAGGGGAAAAGGGGGGAAGGAGGATGATCCTTATTTTCTTGAGGTTCTTAAGTAAATACACTCCTAATTTCATGATCGAAAAGCCTGCTTTGGTATGAATCATTTGTTGGCATTCATGAACCAGAGACTCCCTGTTTCTTTCTCCTTGGCTCTAAGCTGCCTGGTTTGACTTTATGACATGACAGGATGAAGGAAAAGTACGAGATTGCCAAGAAGGAAGTACATGTATCTAAGGCTGCATCCCAGGCAGGGTAAGATGTATTCTCAGTGGGCTGGGAAGGGAGCAGTGAGTGTGGCAAAGGTTTTAAATCAGACCTCAGAGCAGTGACATGCATGCCTGCAGGAAGAAGCAGGGAGAAGGGAGCCTCTGGCAGGGTAGATGTCTCCCTGGGAAGATCTTACAGGAAGGGAACATCTGTGGCCAGTCTCACAAGGGTTTCTCTTTCTCCTTCACCATCTGGGCCCATAGACTGGGGCCTGACCAGAACAGGTCACTCACCAACAACCCTTCTTGAATCTGCTCTGGTCTTGGGTCACCCATGACCTTCATATGGGCTGATCCCTCATTAGACCCTTTGCTATAATCTCACTATTGATTAGTCAATCCTTCATTCTTTTTTTTTGAGACAGAGTTTCACTCTTGTTACCCAGGCTGGAGTGCAATGGCGCGATCTCGGCTCACCGCAACCTCTGCCTCCTGGGTTCAGGCAATTCTCCTGCCTCAGCCTCCTGAGTAGCTGGGATTACAGGCACGCGCCACCGTGCCCAGCTAATTTTTTTGTATTTTTAGTAGAGACGGGGTTTCACCATGTTGACCAGGATGGTCTTGATCTCTTGACCTCGTGATTCACCCGCCGCGGCCTCCCAAAGTGCTGGGATTACAGGCGTGAGCCACCGTGCCTGGCAATCCTTCATTCTTAAAGCTCTCTTCTTCTTCTGCTTCCTCCTCCTCCCCTTTTCCCCTCCTCCTCCTCTTCTTCTTCCTCCTCTTCCTGTTATTCTTCTTCCTCCTCGTCCTCTTCCTTCTCTTCCTCCTTCTCCTTTTCCTCCTCCTCTTCCCCTTCCTCTTCTTTTTGAGACAGGGTCTTGCTCTGTGACTCAGGCTTCTTGAGTATGGTGGCACGATCATAGTTCACTGCAGCCTCTACCACCTCCAGGCTCAAGTGATTCCCCCACCTCAGCCTCCCACGTAACTGATACCACAGGCATGTGTCACCATGCTCAGCTAATTTTTACATTTTTTTGTAGAAATGGGGTTTCACTTTGTTGTCCAGGCTGGTCTCAAACTCCTGGGCTCAGGTGATTCTCCACTTTGGCCTCCTGAAGTGTTGGGGTTCACAGGCATGAGCCACTTTGCCTGGCCATTAAATGTTTCTTCTTTGTTGACTATTGTCAACACTGGGACGTACTTCTGACCCACAGTATCTGTGGTGGGCAGGGAGCTGAGAAGTATGTGGAGAATGAAAGTGTGAAGGCAGTGAGCCAGGCCTGGAACAGGGTGAGGCAAGTGAGTACCTAGGGTATAAAATTTAAGGAGCTCACATACAAATGTAAGATGAGTGATTCTTTATTTTATTTTATTACCTTTTTTTTTTTTCTTTTTGAGATGGCATTTCTCTCTTGTTGCCCAGGCTGGAGTGCAGTGGTGCAGTCTCGGCTCACCACAACCTCCGCCTCCCAGGTTCAAGTGATTCTCCTGCCTCAGCCTCCCGAGTAGCTGGGATTATAGGCATGCGCCATGATGGCCAGCTAATTTTTTGTATTTTTAGTAGAGATGAGGTTTCTTCATGTTGGTCAGGCTGGTCTTAAACTCCTGACCTCAGGAGATCTGCTTACCTTAGCCTCTCAAAGTGCTGGGATTACAGGCATGAGCCACAGTGCCTGGGTGGTGAGTGCTTCTTTAAAATTGACAGGGCCAGTCACTGTGGCTCATGCTTGTAATCCTAGCACTTTGGGAGGCCAAGATGGGAGGATCGCTTGACACAGGAGTTCAAGACCAGCCTGGGCAACATAGGGAGATGCCGTTTCTACAAAAAATTAGACAGGTGTGATGGTGCACACCTGTGATTCCAGCTACTTGGGAAGTTTAAGTGGGAGGATCATTTGAGCCCAGGGGGTTGAGGCTGCAGTGAGCCATGAACGCACCACTGCACTCCAGACTGAGTGACAGAGTGAGACCCTGTCTCAAACAAACAAACAAAAAAGCTTGCACCCTAGGTACCTAGCCTCACCCTAATCCCAG